CATTTTATCTTTTAAAATAGATTTTTTCCTATTTATATATGTAAAATTGTAGTGTATTTCTTTTCACCAAACAGGGTGTGGGACATTATCACTGTTTTAGGATCACCTCAGGAAGTGTCATTACCCAGAATTCCTCACTCTGCTTTGAGAATTATCACTTTTATCACTATTTCTGCTTGGTGCCATCTTGTGAGAGTAATATCTGATGTCTGTGATATGTAAAGAATTATCCTAGGATAGAAATATTAAACTTTAAGCACAGATTTCAGATGTTACTGCTTTAAAACAAATCAGGGATAACAAGTTAAACTTAAAACTTAAAATATGCAATGACATTTAGAGGTAACCAGTGTTGATATAGGTAACATAGCCTAGCCTCCTCCCCAAAATTACTTTCACAGTTAACACTGATACTAATTTAGAATAGTTCATGCCTTATCCTTGCTAAGAAAATGGAACTGATGGTAGGTAGCTGCCAAAGTGCTTTTCAAAACAATATTACATTAGAATGTGATTGGATTCTTCCTCAAATTTATACAGGCCAAAGTAAAACATGAATTTCCTGAATTTCTAGATTACTAACCAACATATAGCCAGTACTATGCTATGTACTTTTGTCAGGTCATTTAAAAATCCATACATTAATTTTATAGAAGAATTTTTACATGTCACTATCAGGATCTCACTGTGAATGTGTTATCTTCAAATGGTTAATTAACCACACAGTACACTACATTTTACATATAATATGCACTTAATCTCTGGGAAAAATAAATTATGTTATTTATAAATAATACATAGGTCATCAGACTCTAAGCAGGGAGGGAAAGAAGAGTAATAGCGTTCTTGTCTGTGTGCCACACACCATATAGAACAGTTTGTGCTCTTGGTCATTTATGTACTCAAGGTCTCACTGTACTCGTAAGAATTCCCATTTTGATGTTGTGTTCACTTCTTTATTTCAAAAAGTACTTTACCTTTCCATTTCTTGATTTGGTTTTGCTTCCATTTTGAAACTAATCAAGAAGGGAAAATATTGAGAATATGCATACAAGAAAATTATTAATCTGAAGATTAATTTCTACCTGTTGTAAACGACCCTCTTTTTAAAAGTAAAAAAAAAATAAATAAATAAGGGATATTATGATGAATGTTTGGCTTATGTGAGCACTAGAGATAAATTTTATAAAACCAGTTATTCACAATATAAAATGTTTTCTCTTCATGTTAGGAAAAATTTTTAGAAATCCTGGGTATTGTACGTAACTGTAGCTAACCAATTTTAAAACTTGTATCCTTTTGAGAACTGTATTAATGGAAAAACCTTTTATAAGGAGTAAAATAAGAATGTTCCAGTGACTACCTGTCCTGATACATTGTCTTGTTAAAACTTTCTTTTGCAGGGTATTTTCCTGTTTGGTTTACAGTCAGTGCAGAGTGGGCATGTTAACAAAAAGTTTGAGCTAGGGATACTAGAAAAAGGAAAGATCAAAGAATGAGAAAGATGATTTGTTTGGGGGCAAACTGAGACCCCAATAACTTTTTCCTCATGTGTTTGGTGCTCCTCACAATTCGTCTTGTATTTTGCCTTTCTGATACCCATCAAAACTGCTGCTCTTACATTCTTTACCTTGCCCAGATCGCCTTGTAAGGAATGCTTTATGAACAACTGCCATAGGACTGATGGATTAACCAGTGTTTGGCTTTATTTGAAGTCTATGCCCTGCACAGTTCTTATATGTATTTTAGATGCTAGGAAGTTTTTAGCATGTGATGTGATTCTTGTTTGAATGTTTATTACAGGTACCTTGTGAATTCCAGAACAGAGACTGTGCCTCACAATTGTTGGTCCCATGAACTTGCACTATCTTTCATGGTGATGTTTTGAAAATACAATCAGGAAAAAAAACCCAACACCTTTGGAATTTAAAAATGGAATCATATATCATGAAATTTAAAAAGAATCTCTTCTGCCCCCTTTCCTCACCACTAAGTAACAGCCACATTTAAGTAAAATGCAGGTGGCAGGGAAAAATCCTGGCCGGATAGTTCAGTGGAATAAACTGATGACTGTTTTTTAAAAGAATGCTTCATCACAGATATTTTCGAGTTTCTCTTTTTTACTTTTTTGAAAACTTACTTTTTAGGAACATTTGGTATAATGTGCATAAAATTATTTACCAATTATGGGCAAAACAATACAAGTAGCATCTTGATTGAACATCATTTACCTCAGATATTCAACCAGCAGTACGTTTTTTACGCAGTCTCAACCCATATCCTATTTGTTACCTCTCAAAATATGGGTAAGCAATTATTTTAGCTTTACTCTGTATTTCTTGTTAGTGTTTTGGGCACAGGTTGTTGTACTACTGTCAAACTGTACTTGCTGTTTTTTCTGCAAGTATTTAACAGAAAGCGAAAACAAAAAAAAAATCCCCATAAACCCCACCTTGGATAAGTGATTGTTAAATATTGTACAAATAAAATGTATGCTATCCCCATTCCATCCCCAAGTTAAATAAAAAAAGTGAATATGATATGATTTGCATATGCAGTTTTTCTTCAGCTATATGTTCTTACAGAGGGGAATTGTAGCTTTGTAATTTAAAGTGAGACATACACCTTGAGATTTGCAAGAATGGAGATAGAGGTGAAAGAAAGAGGGGGGTTTGTTAATTGTGGCATTTCTCTCCTTTGTTGTCTAAACAGATTACATTCCCACCTAAGTATATATGTCAGTCCTGCCAGTATTTGGACGCCAAAGGCTTGTTGGCATTGTGTCACAGTATATACACCAATGGATTCTCAGTTTTTTTTAGGGTAAAGATGAAGGAAACGGCAGCACTTAGGCTGTGGTATGCAAACCATGGTAGAATCTGCATGGAATCTCTACAGAAAGACAATCATTTTCCATAGAGTGTTCTGCAAAACAGACTCTTTAGGAAGTTAATAGATCGTTTTCAACATACACAGCATTATGATACAGTAATTGTGGACAGTTAATTTTGGAACCATTCGTTTTGTTTGGGCCAATTTTGGACTCAAGAGCCATGTGCATGCATGTGAATCGGAGAGGTCTTTTTTAACAAGATTGTTTTTGGTGGGCCACTTGGAGAGAACACAGCAGTAAAAACTGCACTGAAGTAACACTCCTTTTCATCTGCTTTTCAGTGTGATGATCCAAGGGCATTCATAAATTTTTGTTTTTACTGTCTTCCTCTAGTAAACGAAGGAAATATCTTTAACCCATGCTTGTAAGTTTGCATTATTCTTGAAAGGTTTTTCAGGGCTCTTCTGATTGGATTTTTATTTTATTGATGATAGTTCAAGCAATTTTAAGAGATAAAGTGTGTTCAAAAATTTTGCAAATACATTTTAGTTTCTTTGTATTAGGGAATATGGTAAGGTGAACATTAATATCCCTCTGCAAAAACGCCTTTGGAATGTAGGCATATACTTCACTTGTATGACATGATAACCTATTTATTTCTAATTTGCTTTATAACTTTCATATTTACCTCAATCACTGAAAATGAAAACCATCTTGCTACTTAATTTTTTAATCTGTATACTGAATGTTGATGGATCTTCTGTAGCTCTTATGTATCCAGGGAGGCAGATGAGGACTCTCAGCTCTCAAGTGGCATCTGAAGCTAATAAAAACCTGCAGTCCTCAAGTTAGTTCATTTAGGCCATTACCCTTTAAGGCAGATAGTACTTTCCTAATATAGTTCAGGATTTTTTTTAAAGGGACATTATAGCTCAAGCGTAAAATCCTTGCTTCTAGTAATAATAGTGATGCTACCATGTAAAGTATTTTGGCAAAATATCCACTAAAATATGTAGACTGGCTCAGAACCAGTATGTAAGCCTTAGCCTTAATGAAACACTGCTGAAAAGAAAATGACACTGATCTGAAGACTTAGAAGGCTTAGCTTTTTATGCTGGGAACGGCTATGTATGCAAAAGAACAGGTTTTAACTACTGAAGAGCTACTGTATCCACAGAAATCTTATATTCTACTTTATACCCAAGACTTCTTAAAAGCCAGATAAATTGTTCCTTAGAGCATACTTTAAAAAAATATGGTAAGGAACCTATCGTTGAACTTCTTCAAGTCTTAATAGCTAGGGCTCCGGTGTCAATCAAACCTGAGTTGAATTACAGTCTGTCAGTCATTGCCAACCCATGTGATTCTGGATACTGCCACGACTGTGTTATTTTCTAACTTGTAAATAACAGTACCTAAATATCATAGGGCCTCTGACAGCTAAATGGATTATAGAATGCATAAGGATGGAGACCTTATCTTTTGTAAACTTTCTCCTGTGCACATAGTAGGTGACCAAATATCCTTAAACAAATGAAGTCACTAACACTGAATGATTATTAAATTTCATTTTAAACGTGTACCTGTGTTAGTTCATGGATCACTGAGTTTATAAGGCAATGCTTTGACTGACATTTCCACATTCTTCTTAGGTATTTACTTTTTGAGAGAAACAGATTCAGCTAACATTGCCAGACACTTATTTATGGGAGTAATTTTCCAGGAATCTCTAGAATACTTGTTAAAAAGGCAAATTCTGATTCTTTTGGCCTAAGTTAGGCACAAGAAACTGCATTTAAAAAAAAACCTACAAGGGATTCTGATGTAGGTGGTTTGAGAAGTCTAGAAGAAAAATGTAAACTCCTTGGCTTTTTTCTTTCATGTGAACCATCTTTTGGCTAAGCTAGTCAGTCTCCTGAACCAGAAGACCTAGGTCTGGGATAGAATTCAAAATTTGCATGTGTACCAAAAAGTAAAAAAGCAGCACCCCTGCTGTACTATTTTACTGTAATAAGTAAAAGATTACTAATTACACTTCAATTCTTATCATAGTTTCTTTACTGCTTTGGCTTAAGGTTTATAAAAACATCTGGCTGCTAGGTTGAAATGAACTCTTCAAATGGACCACATAAATACTTTACAAGTGTTAAATAAACATATGGTCCAATCTCTAAAACAGTCACATTTTATTCTTTTGAACTGCTACTTAGAACATAATCTAAATCAATCACTAGAACTATAAATCATATAACTGCTTATGATTCAGAGGCAACATACAGTCAAGATACTACATGTGCAATAGCCTCCCATAAATACAAAATGTTTATAAATATAAGAAAATGTAGTAACATATCTTGTTAAAGGACAATAGCTTTTAGTTCTTTGGAGAAGTATGCCTGAAACGCCAACACTGAAGTCACTGGTTATATTCACAACCAGCTTAGTGAAGATGTTGCCCACTGCCTAACATCCGTAGGACAGTTGGGGTACTTCTGTAGAGCATTCATAATTTGAGTATTATCCAAAAGTAGTTTCATCAGTTGGTACTCTCTCTGTGAATTTACTGAAGTTCTTTCCATAGGCTTTATTAATTCTAATTGTTGTAAATGTTCAAAAGCCTGAAAGATGAAAGATATAGTTTAGGTTGAATAGAGGAAGAAAATAAAGTTAATTCAGAGAACAGTTAGGGTTCTGGTCAGTTGTAGAATAGGGCGCTAGGAAACAATGTAATAGAAATCAATAGGGTTCAAAAACAACTCTCATCAACCCCATAAAAACTTCATACCGTTAGGTAAAACAGTGGCAATGCACAGTTATCTATCCATGTATTGTTGAATGTAAACAGGGCAAACTAATTCAGTCTGTAAAATAAATGGTTTTGTTTCTAACCTCATCCTATCATAGTTCCTCCTTGTACTTTAACAAAAGCTTTCCAGTTTTCTTCTCTATAAAAACCTAAGAATCTAATAAAACTTTCTGACTGATTACTTAGCTTAATCAAATTTGTGTTTACATTTTGTTTTTCTTTTTTGGCAGCTTTTTCAGGGAACCAGACTCTTGACCTTAGTGTTACAAGTCTGTGCTCTAACCATCTAAACTAACCAGCTAGCCCTGTGTTTATATCCTGTTTCTACCTTTATAAGACTTTGCTGTATAAAAGTTTAAAACAGCAGTAACAAAGGGGGAGGAAGGAAAGACGCTTAAGCATTATTCAATTTATCCTGTAAGTAAATGATTCAGCAGCATGGTATGGACAAGGAGGAGAGGAGACAGGCTCCTTTTTCTCTAAGTCTGACTGAGATTGTCACAGCCTGTCAACAAGTTTCCTTTTTCCATCTTCCGCACCTTAATAGGGCTCCTTATTATCTGCTTCCTCTTATCCCTAATATTGATATATTGTCTGTTCTAACCTTGATTGTTGTTTTAGGTATGTTACTAGGGCATGAAAAAAACAGAAACCATTAAATCATGACATACTAACCATTAAATACACTGAAATAGATTCCTGAGGAATTCTATTCTTACAGCTCATTGTAAAAAGTATCTTTGGAGTACATTCTCTATGTATTAAATGTATCATAGAGAATATATTCTCTTTTTAATTCTTCTAATAAAAAGATAAATAGTACAAATACTATTCGTTTCTGAAGATGAGAAAATATCGGAGGCTGCAGGTACTGGGGCTGAATAAAATTAAGGAGATTTAAAATATCTCTAGGCAGCAAACACTTCCTTATTGAAAGTGCAGAAATGAGCCATTGTAAATGATTCATAAGAATTTAAATGCTTAGCCAGCCTTTTCACTTTCACAACTCCTACAAACTATGACTCTCATCAGACAAATATGGAGTTAGGGACAAAAACCCAACCTCCAGTATGCTAAATACTTCTTTAAAAAAAATTAATTAACTTTTTTGAAAAAATGGCAATGTTAAATTTAAAAACAGATACTTGGTCCAATTAGAAAATTAAGTGTGTTTGGAACAATTTCAAAATGTAAATATCTTTTTTCAGCTATAAGTTTTATGGAATTTAAAGAGCAAGTATTTCCGATGAATATTTAGTGAATTGAGATGTGATGTAAGTGTAAACACAAGATTTCAGACTTAATACAAAAGAAAATAAAGGAAAATACTTCATTAATAATTTCCTATATTGACTATAGACTTTGATAAACTGAGTTAAATACAATATATTACTAAAGTTAACTTCATCTTTTTTTACTTTCTTATGGCTACTAGAAAATCTAAAACTATATTACGTGGCTCACATTATCTTTCTAGTGGACAATGGTACCCTAAAATAAAATTATTAAGTTTTAAAACTCATGCCTCACCTACCTCTCACATAAAACTTTCTCTGTATGCCCTCACCAGCCAATGAGATTTTGTCCTTTAAGTTTCTTAATGGCTCTTATTTGCATTTTTGTCTCCTTTCACTGCTCAGATTATAAAGCCAATCCTTGGGTTGGAAAGGGATAGGATTATATCGATGTGTAGTTCCTTTTTAGGATGCAAGTACTATTAACAGACAGCAGAGGGCAGTATACCCCCACAAAGTAAAATGGAACTGGCTGCTTCAGAATTTCATTTTTAGATAATTTGTCTATTTTGAAAAAAAATTCCTATGATAAATACCTAATGTTTAAAAATTAATGAAGGTGCCACTCTGATAGATAACAATCAAATTGGATGTAAAAAGTATACCTGTCTGCAGAAAAATAATCAAATCTTACCTTCATGACAACAGGTTTCTCAAAATTATAAACAGAATGAGCCTTCCTTTGAACAAACTTCTGAAATTCTGGATAGAAAGCAATGACAACATGAGTACCTTCAAATAGGCAGTAGGGGAGAGTCAGAAAGAAACTACCAAAGTCTCATCTCACCATTATAGACCATTTGAAAATTAAAGGGCTCTTCTTCATAGATGTCATTTAAATGTTTCATTGCAATTATAAGACAGATTTCCAAGACTGACAGACCTACAGTAAAAGGAATATAAGCTATGAGTTACAGTTTAATTATACATAAATGATTGTCGTCCAAAGAATACAGTGAAAGATCATGCTTTTAAGGAGTAGAGGTCAAAACCTACCTAGACTCAAATGGGTTTCAATCACTATTATCTATATAAACTTAATAAGCAAGTTACTTAATCTCCCTGAGCTTAGTTTCTCATATCTGCAGAATAAGGATCTTCCTAAATTAGAGATATTACAAGGATTAGAGGCAATATTATCAAGCACTCATCATATGGCCAACAGTTAAAAAATAAACAGAAACTGCAATTGTTGTGTGACTTTAAATCACATACAGCCCTTTGGTGGAATTTATTCAAGGAATACCTAAACCCCTGGAAATCAAATCCAAAATTGTGTGTGCATATTTTCCCTGGAGAGAAAAAGGTTCATTAGATTCTCAAAAGAGATAGTGAATCCAAAATGGTTAAGAGCCAATAAATGCTCTTCAGTATCACTTGGTGCAATGAGAACTTCAGCAACAGTCTTAACTGAGTTCTAATGTGGCAGTGGAAGCAGAGAATATCAAGTTTCTTTCCCTTTAAATGGAAGTGATAATACCTTTTAAAGGACTAAGTTTAAAGGCTGCATAGATATATAAGTATTCTGTATATAAAGCACTATGCCCAATGATAATTATAATTTTGAAAAACATTCCAAGTTCAAACTTTTAAAAACCACAATTTAAAAAAAAGTGCTAATAAAACAGATTTCTCACCATGTACAATATTTGCTTTAGAGTCCATGCTACACAGCTGGTTTGCTTCTATTAGATCGGCTGCAGTTATAAATGTGTGTGATGCTGTTACTCGATTTAAGGCAAGCATCTAGAAAAATGTGGATCAGAAAAACAATTACATATTTACTTGAGAATTTTGGAGATATTACTGTGCAAAACTTCTTAGTTTGTATGGTCTGTTCTGTCTGTTCTTATGGGAGACTAATTAATGCTTGGAAAAGGTATTCTCGGTATTCTCAAATTTAGCTCTATTAAAATGTAGCATTTCAATTCATCACATAACTATAAATGTAAAGCACAAAAAAGTTCTTGCTCCTCTCCCTACCCCTTCCCACTTGTATATCTTGTTTACTCGCCCAAAAGAAGAACATTTAAAAGAAAGTCGGGCAAGAAGAAGAAAATGAAAATAAGTAAGAATACTAACTGAAGCCCCAGAATAAGCCAAAAAGGCGGATCTATGCCTTGTATAAACTTTTCAACCACCCAATCAACCAGCCATGGTTAGTGTAAGATAGACAAAAGTTAGCTATTTTATGTTCAACTGTACAAAAAAGAAAAATAATAAACTTGCACTTAGATCAACAATGAGTAACTTCACAGTATAAGTATGAACCTTTTAATATTTGGGACATACTTATCCTAGAAACTCTCTCGTCCAACTTAACAAGGGCACAGGTGCCTCAGTTGAGCAGAAGAGTTAGCAGAGTTTCTTCTCATTTATTTTCCTACTGGCTGGGACCCAGGTTGCCAGCTACTCCTTCCCTTTCTGTCTCCATTTTTCTCTTTTATTATAAAATATTTTTTAACATACAAAATGGCAACAGAGGATATAATGAATATCTATGACCACTTTCACAGCTTAAGAAATATAATTTTACAGAGCTGAAGCCCTAATCTCCTCACCTGATTAGATTCTTACACTTTCCCACACAAAACAACCTTGCTTATTCTTTATACTTCTATCATATATGTATTCCTAGACAACACAGAGTAATTTTTAAGTTTTATATAAATACTATATTTTCACAACTCTCTTTTCACTGAACACCTACTATGAAAATTTATCCATGGTGAGGTGTCAATTCTAGTTTATTCACTTCTTTTATGTTGTATTACTTTGTATATACCCACAATTATTCATTTCCTATTGGTGGACATCTGTCATTTCCTCTTTTTTTGCAATTGTAAACAAAACTGCAATGAATAATCTTGTAGATGTCTTCTTGTGCATCTGTTTCTCTAGTTACCTAATTTGCCAAATTGATCTCCAAAGCACCTATACATATCTACACTAACCACCAAGCAGCAAATTTTAATAGTCACAGACACTATACCATCAGACATCACCTTTGACACCCACCAGATTGGCAGAAAAAAAAAAAAATTTAATTGTAGCACTTATCTGCATTTCTCTGGTTTCTGGAGAGACTGAATATCCTTAACATATAAACAGCTTCCACAGTAAGACAAAGACAACTAATAAAGGGATAAGCTTAGAATATGAGCAAGCAACCCACCAAAGAAGAATCTCACATGATAAAAAAAATCATTATTTAATTCATTACCATGAATTAAAAATGTAATAGGAAACTGGCAGACAATAGCTGTTCATGTTGACAATATTAAGGCAGAGATATTTTCCCAGAATAAGGGGGAAAATACGCATAAAAACCCTTACTCTAAAAACTCTTAGTGCCCAAATTCATTCATTATAAAGACAGATGTTGCTGAAAATGGCAGAGTACTTTTGATGGATGGGAGAGGAAATAAGATAATGAGAGGAAAATTATATAGGGATAAAAAGACTCTTAAATTTCTTCAGCAAAAAACAGGAATGGGGAAGAAGAATCTGTAAATAAACCTGGTAAAGCCATATAGTAAAGTAGGACACAAGCTTAAAGCCAGAGAGCCTTGGATAGAGTCCTGGCCTTGCCATATACTAGCTATGTGACTGTGGGCAAGTAATTTAACCTCCAAGAACCCTCAATTTCTTCAAGAATAGGATAAAAACACCTAAGGATAAAAGGTAAGATTACTGCAAAGGTAAGACATACTATAGGTAATTACAGCACCTGGTTCATGTACTAGTCAATAAATGGTAGCTGCTATTGTTATTACTACTGAAAGTGACCAAGACACTCAGTAAACCAAAACTATTTTCTCCTTGAAGGTTTTTGCCATCAACAATTTTCTAGAACTAGAGCAATACCAAATACTCTTAGTGAAGGAAGTTCTTTAATTTTCAGAATTACGTACCTCTTGACTGATATTGTTGTTTAAGCTTATCATATAATTACCTGGTGAAGGACCAAGTGGAATTTATTCCAGGTATTCAAAGCTGGTTTAACATTTAAAAAAATCAACCAATAAAGGGCTGGCCAGTTAGCTCAGTTGGTTAGAGCATGGTATTATAACACCAAGGTCAAGGGTTCTGATCCCTGTACTAGCCAGCAGGGCGTACTCCCCCTCCCCCCCCCACCAAAATAAACCAATGTAATCCAACATATCAACATGCTAAAGAAAAACTATATGACCATATCAACTGATCCAGAGGTAAGCATTTGACAAAATCCAATACCCATTCATAATAAACTCTCAGCACGTTAGGAACAGGGGAATTACCCCAACTTTGTAATAAGTGTGTATAAAAAACCTACAGCTAACATTATACTTAATGGTGAAAGACTGAATGCCTACCTCCTGAAATAAGGAACAAGGAAGGATGCTCATTCTCACCACTCTTATTTAACATAGTGCTGAAAGTTCTGGCAATTGCAATAAGGCAAGAAAAAGAAATAAAAGGCATACAAATTGAAAGAAAAAAATAAAATTGTCTCTATTTGTGAACAATATGATTGTCTACATAGAAAATCCCAAGGAATCTATTTTTTAAAACTCCTAATATAAAGGAGTTCACACAAAAATCTATCACACATTTCTAAACACTAAAAAAATAACATGTTGAAATCAAAACTTTAAAATACCATTTACAATTGTTCCAAAGAAAATTAAATACTTAGGTATACACTTTAAATACATATGGAATCTGTGCACTGAAAACTATAAAATGCTGCTGAAAGTAGTCAAACAAGAACTAAATAGAAGGGGATATTGTACCATATTCAGGGGGCATGTCAATTTTCCCAAAATTTATCTATAGGTTTAATCAATTCCCATCAAAACTTAATTACCTGGTGAATGAGAGCGATAAAAAAAAAACTAGTACAAACCAACAGCATGTGTAATGACCGCAGGTTTTTGCTGACATTGAAGTACTTCTGTAGTACTTCTCGCACACTTCTATCTTCTGAGAGACACTAAAGAAAAAGAAAATTTAAGAAACAATGCAATTTAAAACCTAAATATTATCTTAGCCCTCACTGGTCAGTGTACTTCATTAACTCTGATATTTATTCATTATTAAATAGATGTTGGTCTTATTTGTAGAACGCTGAAATTTCTAGTCTACTACTGATTTTCTTCTTATCTCTTTACATTAATTCAATAAACATAAAGACAAAACAATCCGTGCTAGCCCCATATTTCTACTCTAGTAAGGGTAAAGTACAAAGTCATACTAGAGGGATGAACAAAATGCAGCACAAAACAACACAGATAATGAGTTATTGTACCCTGAAAAACAAGGTAAAGTAGTACAAAGAATGCTTGTCAAATAGGCTAAAAAGAGAGAAGAGCATTTACACTTTATGGGGAACAGCATGAACAATGTAGAAAGGTTATGGCATATTAACAGAAAATGAGTAGTCATATACTTCTGAATATTTCAGTTATTGGCAAAGGGACTGCATGGAAAGACAAAGGCAGGAAAAACTAATTGGAGGCAATCACAATTGTCCATACGTGAGGCAAGGAGGGTCTGAATTAACAGAGTGGTGTGAAGACAAGAGACAATTAAGACATTTATAGAAGGCATATATGATAGAAACTTAGCTGGTGGGGAGAAGAGGAGGAAGGGTCTGAAAAGGAGAAGAAAAAAATCAAATATGATCTATGGGGGACAGAATTGTCTGTGAAGAGTGAGATATGTCAACAAGTAAACCCTGGAATTATCAATACTTGTTAGTAGATGGAAAAAAGAGGAGCAAAGTAAGAAAGATACTAAATACTGGAAAAGAATCCGAGAGAGAGCAGTGATCTAGAAAATGAGGAAAGAAAATTTCAAGAGGGAAATGCTGATCAACAATATAAACTACTTTGTAAAATTAAATTAAGATATATTTGGAGAATAGGCTAATGGCTTTAGAAATTTGGAGATCAATAGGGCCTTTTGAGAAAGTAGTACCTGAGTCAAGTGACTGTAGTCAATTAGGATTAAATGGAAGGTGAGGAATACAAGGCAATGAAGAAAATATTAGATGTAAGGAGAGTAAATTCAGAGGCAGTAGAGTCAAGATGAGCTTGAGAAAGAAGACTGACACAATTTTTCAAAAAAAAAAAAGGCCCAGAAAACTAAGCATTTCTAAATTTTCTAGAGCTATAATTGAATGTCTTTAATCCTTCCATTGTAAGAAGCTCCAGACTCAGGAATAAGCTCTAGTCTATTGAAATGAAATTTCACGCTCTCAGTAAATATATTATCCTAGGTATAATTCCTACTCCCTTGATATATTTTTTAGTTTTCTCTTTGTATTTTAAAGGGCTTCCTGTTATGACATGCATCTTTTCATCATAAAAAAGGACAAATATCTGTTGGAAGTACACAGGATAAATATAAAAGAATAAAAAAACCTTTCAGAAGTTAAAAAAGGTTTTTAGCTTTTCCACCATTTTCACATTTCAATATGGAAGAAATTTAAGAAATATGTGGCTAAATATCACAAACTATAGTCGTGGCTTCTGTAATCTTTGACTGTTATTAAGTCACTTACAAAGCTGATCCAGTAAAATCAGGGCACTAAGGAAAACAAAAGAAAATCACGTAGGGCAAAAATAATTGAAGAAAGAAATTTTCTCTGAAAAAAGTCAATTTATTTTTAAAAACTGTATTTGCCTTTCTTTGACATGATGCTTCAAAGGGTTAATCTTCTATATTCTGCCTTCCTACTTTACCTCTGTATTTTTAGTGTTCTGACTCCAACTCTCCTTCTTTCTGAAAACTATCATCTTCTTACTTCCATAATTTTTTATCTGCTTTAAAAAAAAAACCCAAAAGTCTACATCATCTATGTGAGAGCCACTAAAAAAAAAAAAAACCTAATTTCTCTCATTATATTTTTAATCCCACCTTGATTCAAAGACTATAAACTATCTGAGGATAAGGCAATTATTAATAACCACTTGAAGTTAGCTGTAGTACTTTGGGGTATTTCCTTTGAGGAGAATTAGCTATGATTCTCTAAAGTGCTTTTTTCCAGGAATTCATCTTATACTATGATGCTTAGATGGAGTCTACTCTGCTTACTTATTTTATTTGACTCATTTGAGATAGGGCTAAAACAAACCTTCAAATTAGGCAGAATGTCCAGGTTCAACGTTATACTAAAGATAGTTCTTTGCTGAAATTCCATAGGAGGCCATCTGTACCATTACTTTTGGTTTAACCTTGCTATTAAAAAAACCTGCAGGGGCTGGCCCGGGGGCGCACTGCTCCAGTGCGCCACTGGGGAGCGCGGCAGCGCTCCCGCCGAGGGTTTGGATCCCACATACAGACCGGCCGCTCACTGGCTGAGCGAGGTGCGGGCGCAACACCGAGGGTTGCGATCCCGTTGCCGGTCCCGGTCCGGTACGGGCGCGACACTGAGGGTTGCGATCTGTTGCCGGTCACGAAAAAAGACAAAAAAAAAAAAGGAAAAAACCTGCATATAGTAAGCACTGAGAGAAAGAATAGTTCCCTCAATGCGGCACACCCCTAACTCCCACCCCATGGAACAGGGACTCTGGCCTTGGTGCTGACAGATTTTTCAAACAAAGCTCATTTGCTTGGATACCAAATGAGGTGACACAAGATGATCAGTATAGGGAAAGAAAATATCAGAACTAAGACACACAAACCCCGACACTGCTAGTTCTACTTTATGAGCCTGAACTGCAAGACTGTTAAAAAGAAGGCAGGCTAGTTCTCAAATTCATTCCTACCATCTGTTGCAAAGTTTGGGGTACATAGGGTCTGCAATAAAGGATCAGAAAAATAGGGTTGAGCAACCCTACTATCATATGTTTATCCATTTCTAAGTCATCCAGAGTTATGCTTCCTCATTAACCCCTATCATACTCTTTATTTATATACCTACTTTGAGATGTTCAGAATGCAACATAGCTAGGAAGGACAGAAAGATGAATGATGGCACAGTGCAACTTGGGCTGTACAGTCTACCTTAGGAAAAGAGTTAAACAGAATGAACCGGGATGGAAATAATAAAAGCCTAGTAGAGCACAGACATTTAAATACTATGAAAGATAGCCAGAAAAACACATGTGGGAATAAGACAATCAATTCAGGAGTTGTAGAAGGTGAAAGTTTGTGAGGCACTGAAAAGTGAATCTAGAAGCTGAAGATCCAGGTCTGATCCACTCCGTACCTAGGTAAGAAAGGAGACAAAGTGGGAGTACCAACTATAAGAAAGTGTTCCTATAATTAGAAAAAGCATCAAAGACAACTTGCCTGAACTAACTGAAAGATGAGTCCCAGGTAACATTAACTTGGGGAGGTGGGTGGAGGCCCGAAATCTAATTAAACCACGGCACAATATCTGAATTTTAAGGATCAAGTCAGTCATTTCTACATACAATTATGTATAGTAGTTATACAGGAAAAACAATAGGGAAGTATCACTCAGAACAAAGTGAAAAAAGTAAAACGAAAAATATTATGTAAGGTTTGAACCCTTTATGTAAAAAAAAAAAAACAAATTTAGTATGTATGTAAGGTCTGCAATGTTATAAACCAAATAATTACTCTGTAGTAAAAGGAAGGAGAATGAACATGAATATAAGGGAAACTTCCACTTTTTACCATGTATTCTTCGTCATTGTTTAAATTTTATTCAGTGAACTTTTATGATTAAGAAAAAATTGACATGTCAGAATTAAGTGCTTACATGAGTAGACTATATTTTATAATCAAAACAATCATTTTAAGAGCAAAATAAATGTAAAATTCTCACTTTTAAATTGGTAGTGGTATTTAAGATTTTATGGTAAAGAGGTTACAATCTATCATTATTGTTTTAACATAAAACAATCTTTTTAGAGCCAGTGAATATATACAGACTGTACAATTCTACTAAAAAATCCTATCATCTTTACTCACTAGCATTTAATATTACAGATTAATTTTTCTCAATTCATTCAGAACCAAGGACTCTACATTATTTTCCACTCTCACTGGACCCATATTTTTTGAAGAATCTATGAGCAGCATATTCAGTAACACAATTATGTTATTAAACACACACTCACATATATACTCCCTCCCTTCTCCCTTCCAATTAAAACTTGTCAGCATAAGATTAAACTGATGCTAGTGTGTTATGATGATGTAACAATGGTCTGAAAAGGCAAGCCTGTTCAGCTTAAGCATGGGTAAATTTAGAGAGTCTACAAGGTTTAGTAAATCTTAAAACAAAATGTGAACCTGCCTTTGTATCTAAGATTCTCAGGGCTCCAGGGACTCCAAAATGGGATTCAGCTACGTATAAAATATAAGCAGAGGTGCCACAGCCCAAATTGCCTCTTAACCCAATGAGATAAAGGCTGAAGTTTATGAGAGTTGGGGGGGGGGGGGGGGGGGGGGGAATCAACATAGGACAGGTATGAACCACTACATAGTATATTGCTAAACTTGTACGATACCAAAAATAAAATTCATTAACAAAATTATTACATAAACTAGATATAGATAAAACTAAATATCATTAGAGTTTACTTGAAACTACTGACATAAGTCCTAAAGCTTAACTGTGAAGTTCTTTTCAGAGACAGAATTTAGGAGATATGACATTTCAACTGTCTTTTATAAGAAATATGAAAAAACTCTGTAGAATTTGCATTCTTGCAGTTTTATACTACAGTAAACAGAAGCTTTGTGTCAATTTACAAATTTTAAAAACATCATTTTAATTGTTTTAAATCAGATAGCAAGACACATAAATTACTTTAACATTATTGCCTTTGCTTAAGTTACCTGAACATTCTCATTCCACTTCTCAGCAAAAAGCTTGTCTGGAAATTCTGCAGGTAGAGATAATTGTTCTTTAAATATTTTAACATACTGTGGAAAACCAAATGAATTCATTAAGTGTATCTGCCGGTGAGAAAAGCGTGACTTCACTCTTTTTTCTAACAGTTCCAAAATATCCTTAAAAACAAACAGAAATTCCTGTAAGATGCATGTTAAAAAAAACATTATACCAATGTAAGAGGTATAAACTACAACCTGTAATTAGTAAAATTTACTCTATAATACAAAATTAAGCATTTAAAAATCTTTATTAAAACTAAATAATCCCCTTTTGGCATCTGAAGGCTTGGTGATTCCATGCCTTTTTTCTACCATGTTATTCTCAGTTAATCTGTAACATTCCAAGACCTACAATGATCACTAAAAAAAACTGTGTTTATTGAATAATTATATGCCACAGTAACATCAAGAGTTTGAATAAGAAATTTTGTACATTCTATGAAGAATTCAGATAAAAAAAATTAAGATAATAAAATTCAGTTAGACATTACAGTCATGAAAATTGAAACATCTTCAAGGTTTCATGTAACAAAGACTCAAGAAGCAGGATGTGTAATAGAGCAAAATTCATTCATTAAACTACCTACAAATTTAAGCTGAAGCGTGATAGACAGTAGAAACCAATTACAGAAGAGGAAACTGGCAACATGACATTGGTAAGTTATTAATTTTTTGGCTTTTTTGTAGTGACTTTAGAAACTACTTGATTTGTGCTATTTTTCGTTAAGAACAAATTAGGGATCAAGTTTACTGTTAAAGAACACTAGAAACCAAAAGATAACTAATATGTACTACTTGTAAAGACATACAAAGTTTTCTTAGTTGAAGAAAATACTTCCACAATGCTGATATGTATTCAAACTATCCCAGATATCAAAAGCACAATAGGTTGTCCTCTAAGTCATAGATGGGTAGAAATTATCATTCCTAAATCTCTTTTTAATAGTGAACTTGAGCAATCTTTCAAAAGATGTTATATGCTACACAATTACTCTATCACCCAACAATTTCATTCCTAGGTATACAACCAAGAGAAATGAAAACATATATCTACAAAAAAATGTAATACATCAGCATTATTCATAATAGCTTTAAAAAAAGCAAATAACCCAAACGTCTACAATCTGATGAAAGGATAAACAAAGGGTGGAATATTATTTGGCAATAAAAAGAAATGAAGAACTGATATATGCTACAACACAGATAAACCCTGAATACATTATACTAAGAGAAAGTAGTCAGTCACAAAAGACTACACATAATTCATTTTACATGAAATATACAGAATAGGCAAATTACTAGAGACAGAAAGTAGAATAAGGGATGCCTAGGGCTGGAAACAGAAAGAGGGGATTAAGAAATATGAGGTTCTTAAACTGAATGTGGTGATAAGTGCACAACTCTGTGAATATACAAAAATACCAATGAATTACACAGTTTGAGACAGTGAATTGTATGATTTCAAATTATACCTCAATAAAGCTGCTAAAAAAAAAAGCACCCCCTCCCTCCCCACAAATATGAACACTGACATGATATTTGGTGATTTTAAGGAATTGCTGCTGGTTTTTAAGATGTAACAATGATATCAAGAAAATATATTTCTAAAAGAATCCTTATCTTCTGAAAATACATTCTGAAACACTGATGAAATAACATATTGTCTGCTTTTTGCCTCAAAATAATACAGGGATAGAAGGAGATGGTAAACGATAAATGAAACTAGCTGATAATAACTGCTGAAGCTAGGCAATGAGTGGAGGACAATCATGTTCATTATATTATTCTCTCCTATGTAATAACATTGAAATTTTCTTTAAAAGTGTGTGGTGAGACCCAGAAATATAAATTGTTAAATCTAGCCAGCTAATTCTCATAATAGCTAGGTTAAGACACCACGATATAGAGAAAAGAACTCAAGTGATCTAAATGGTATCATAATTAGTTTAGGAAGAAGGATAGGAAAAATTAACAGCTTGGGGTAGGAAGGGGGAAGGTGAATAAAAATCCTGGCATGTTTTTAAAAGATCAAAGAAAAATATAGAGCCTGCGTGAGAATTAAAAAGAAAGGAGGTAATGTTCAGAGAAAAGGATACTGTACATTTACTTTCTATTAAGGAAGTGTTCTAGGACACCCACATAATGTAGGTGGTGGCAAGGTAGTGGAGTAATACTCTATGCAAGCAACAATTAAAAACCTGAACTTGGGAATAGAAAGAAAGAGATGGAAGTAAAAGATGTTTCAGTGGTGGACAGTAATGATGTAAACTGGCAATGTGGGGATAGACAAAATAGTTACAAAAAAAAAATTACTTTCACAGGGCTGAGGTTGCTTGCTGGGAAAGTCACTATGCCATCTATCCTTTTGCTCTCTCCTTATAAACATGGATAGATAGATACAATTACGCCTGAAAGAACTACACAGCTGGAGAATTACACATACAGAACAAAAAAGAGCCTCTGATAACATTGCTAAGGAGCTATTGACTTTTTATTTGGTCCTTCACTGGGTCAATAACTTTTGCCACTACCACTTCTACCCAAAGGAAGATTTTTTTTTTAAGCAAGAAGAAAGGGGCTTCCTTTATCACTATGATAGCCTTGCTGCTTCTGGCAAGGAGGAATGAAGATATGCGGAACAGCAGCCAGATGTTCTATGAGTGAGGCTTATTCTGAAGGCATACATCCATAAGCTCTAGAGCACAAGAAAAGGAGATACAGAGAAAACTCCTCCCCTGAAAAACAGAACTGGAAAGAGAACTGTCGAAAGATGACTTACTAAAAGGTTTTCACTTTCCTGAAAAAGAAAAAGCTGTAGAAAAGAGAATAAGTAAATGGGCCTGACATAAGCCTGCCAGGAATGCAGGGGAAAAAGGATGAAGAAAACTATGGAGGCATAGCACAGTGTGGGAAAAGAGGTGACTCAAATATCAGTTTTACCTGAAATCAGTAAGAAAGTTCATACTATAAGAAGGTACACACAAAAAAGGCCTGTGTAGTTGTCCAAAGGTATACAAAGTTCAACATGTATAGAGCCTTCACAAAGTAAAGTGATAGTAACATTTGAGACCACGGTTAAAATCATTCTAAAATTCCCCAAGGAAAAAGGAAGCCATTATCTACTGCGACTGCTTAATTGAAAGAATCTCATCCATTTCTGGAGATGTGTACTTAGAAAATTGAAATAGTATCACTGAGTTGATCTCAAGCATTTTCAAAATATGGAAAGAATCGTAAAGGTAAAATAAAATTATTATTAATTTTCATGAAAGTGGTAAGATTACTTAAATGTCTCTTTATTGCTAATGTACAAATTACATTTACTAGCATAACCTGATTTTATATTTTTTCCTTTAGTAATTTCACTGGGAGGAGGAACGTTAAGTTTATGGATATACGTGGTAATTGTTTTCTTGTTTTACTCAGTTTGAGTTGGAAACCAGGATAGATTTGCCAGGAATTGGTGAAACAAAATTTTTTAAATGCCTAATATAATAATCTCTACATAAGTGAAAAAGACTAATTACGTCAGCAATTAAGCTTGAATTTTCTGAATGTTTCAATAATTTTTTTTTTAAGAGAAAGAAAAACTTACCAATCTACATGTAAGACCAATAACTGCTATTGGAGTCTGTGCAGACTGAGAAATGTCAAAAAGATTATACAGCAGTGTTTGGTTTTTATGATGAGCAAAAAGATCAAATTCATCTAATACGAAGATCACTGGGCAACTGCTAGTCCGGTCACCTAAGATAAAACAAGAACTTTACATTAACAATTACATCAACCTTTCTTAAATTTACAAACTATTTAGTACATTTCAGTTTTTTTTTTTTTTTTTTATCCTTTTTGTCTTTTTTTACTGACCGGCAATGGGATCGCAACCCTCGGTGTTGCGCCCGCACCGCGCTCAGCCAGTGAGCGGGAACTGGTCACCACATGGGATCCGAACCCTCGGCAGGAGCGCCGCCACACTCCCAAGCGGCGCACTCTCCAGTGCGCCACCGGGCCGGCCCAGTACATTTCAGTTTTTAAAACACAATTCAACAAACATATTGATAACCTACTTTGAGTAGGGCGCTTATTGATGCATATACTCTCTCATTCAACAGAAAAAATTATGCATAGGACAAAAGTACCTTATCCCTCAAGTAGTTCACAGTCTAATTACTAGACTCTAGTAGTTTGTTGATGAAAAATTAAGAAAATGACAAATAATCAGAGACTATTGTTCTTATAATTATGTACACATAATTCCTCTTTAATAATTTACAAAATTAACAAAGACTTTTCAATACCTATATCGAACCAAAACACTTTGGGATTAAAATATAAAGGGAGGCACTAATTAATGGAAAAAACTACTGCTTCATAAGAGATTTGCTTAGTTAGTAGAAATGCAAAGTATATCTTACCATAGAAATAATTTTTATATCAATGACTAAACTATAAAGTTCAAGCAAAACTACTTTAACTCCTTTAACCATAATTTTTAACATTTCAACAAAGGGAAAAAGTTAAACATGACTCTTTGGATATATTTTTCTCACTACAACAATGAAAACTACCTTAGCAGAAGTAGAAAGGTTTTAAGTCTTTATATTTGCATAAAAAAGTGAAACAAAAATATGATTAGGAAAGACTTAATCCAACAGATAATAAAATAAATACAGTATAAATGGTTTAATATTGGCACAAACCAAAAGGACTAATCAAAAGCCTTGAAACAGACCTACATAATAAAGAATTTTGGTATTTAAAAAAATATAGCATTATGAATCAATGCTAAAATGGTTTATTCAAAGTTAGAGCCCCACTTTACACCTCCTTCCAAAATAAATTCCAAGCAAATTACGAATTACAAATATATGTACTCAACAAAAACACAGGTGAATGTTCTTATAATCTGAAGGAGAGAATAAAAATTCTAGATAACTATAAACTATGTACAAAATTGAAAACTTCTGTTAGCAGAAAAGTAAAAACTAAATTTAAGGAAGGAAAAAATAAGGATAAGAACTCCCATAAGTATGAGATAAACATCACCAAAATACGGCAAAGATCTAACAACATATACATAAACTAGGAAATATAAATGGTTGATAAAAATATAAAATAATAAGCATCACCATTACTAGAATTATAGAAATTAAACAAAGAACAAAAGTTTGCAAATTAAACTAAAAGACAGGATTTTTTTCTATTAGATAGGTAAACATGAAAATTAATAATAATTGTTTTTGAAGTTATCAAGAAAAAGGTACTCTCATGTACGTTTAGAAAGTGAAGCTTCTAGTGTAGTATAATCTTTATTCTTCTAAATATGGCATCTTTTAACCCAAAATTCTACCCATTGAAATTTATTCCAGGAAATATCTGGATAAATGATCATTTAAGCACTTCTTCCTCCTTATAAAAAGTCCATAACTGGTGATTAATAAATTATACCACATTTATAAAACAGATTATATGAGAACCATAAAAATGATCCAGATCAAAATTTACTAATTATAAAACAAAAGGTAAAATTTTCTTTTATTAAGTTACATCTATACATATATTAATAACAATGATCTACTACAGGTGAATAAAGAAACCAAATGTTAATTGATATAATCACTATTACAGTGATGGGATTATAGTGATCATTATTTTATTCTATTAAAGTTTCGATTTTATCAGCTTTTTGTAAAAGCATGTATTACCTTTACAATCAGGGATAAAATAAAGTTATAAACAAATATCCTTTTATATTGCTAAATATGTTAATATTTACCTTTTTTTAAAGCTTCCAGAAGAAATGAAAGGTTTTCAGCAAAGCTTCCCTGAATAACAAAAACAGATAACATAACTAGAAGTTTACTGAAATAAAAAATAAAAAAGGGCTATCTGACTTTCACTTTATATACTATATATCTTTTTTCCCAGTAAATTAGGCTCACTGGCCAAACTCTCAGCTGAGTGTCTCTATACTTACCACCTAAAACTTAAATATAAAAACAGAGATGGCACAGCACTGAAAATTCAATTACTATGCCATGTTTGAAATTTTATATTTCCTGAACAAAATTTGTAAAAATGTTAAATTTACTTGAAGGTAGTTTTGAAGAGTTGCGATATTCTCAATACAGCTGGAAACCTAGAAATGCACTCCTCTACTTTGTGTCTTCAAACACATCAGGCTCTTGCCAAGTCTCAAATTAATTTGTACTACCAAAGAAATGACTAAAAATTTAAATAAGATACAAAAGAAAAAGGCAGAAGAAATTTGATTGAAATATTAAATACTATAATAATAGCATTGGTCTATTCACAGTACATTGAAGAATTTGTATATATCATATCAAATTTGGCTGTTTATTTGGAATACGGCCAAAACATTTTTGGATACAACTTAAATATTCTAGATGAAATTTAATAGAGTAGCAGATGCACTAAGCAAATGTTCCAGATTGTAGGCAGAGGCCTCACTAAAATATTTTTCATTGAAGTCATTAATTTTTGTTTCATTCAGATTTTTAATTTAAAGAAACAGCCACTTTTAAATTTGAGGAGATGTAAAGGAAAAAAGAAACCCATTTGTTTGTTCCCCAACCGAGATCTGATATAACATAGTACAGTAAGTTTTTAAAAATTTCCACATACTGTGATGATCAAATGCTGTCATATTAACACTATTTCCAATGTAGGCAGGGCAAGAGGTATTATCCATAATTTACCATAACATAATAAAGGCTCAAAGAGACAATCTGTTTGGAAATCAGTGATCAAACTTACTCAAAGTTTACTTGTCTTTCAGCTTAGTATAAGTATATACTTATATAAATATATAAACATACATAATATATACATATATCTGTATATAAGAATATATATCTATATACATATAAATATAATAAAGGAATTAAACTAACAATCTTTATATGTGATGATAATGATGATTAGGGTAAGATGGTAAACAACTGTGTCTTTTATTATTTCACATATATCCAATATGAATATATCCGTTTAGGGATGTTAAAAACATTCCTATCCAGATGAACTGGAAACCAAAAGCCAAACTGAACCTACTTAATAAGAACTCTCTTTGGCCCAAGTAGGCCACTAGCTTCAACAAACAGGAGGGAGAACATCAGATTTACAGAAGGGGCATCTTGAACTTGCATTTTGAAAACCTACAGACTATGGCAAACTGGTTGGCTCAACATTTTATAGATAATTACCAGAGTTAAATTCCTAAATGCTAAGAGGTTTACACAATTATTGCTACATCACTGCAGTAGAGAGCACACAGTTGAGAGATCTGAGTGACAGCACTTCATGATGACCAGTAACCAGAAAATGAACTTGAAATGTATATAATCCACTTCAACTGTCTAAGGAGTAAGAGGATTGGTAATTTCATCATGAAAATTAGGGCAGCTGCAAATTAAATTAACTGTGTTTTCCTTAGGCCCTATAAATTAGGTGATAGGTAAAAAGTTTAATTAAAGAAACGAAACATTTCATCAGTTTAAGTTATTGACATTCACTGTCCTTAGAACTCATGCTGTTAAAATAATGAGGTATGGATAAATTTCTGAAAACATAATAGTAAGACAACTGACATTTATACAGCACGTTACTATCCAAAGTATTATTTTTAAACTTAAATGATGTTTAATGTTTTGCTTTCTGCTGTTTCTAGTTACCCATAGTCAACCACAGTCTGAAAATATTAAATGGAAAATACCAGAAATAAACAATTCATAAGTTTTAAATTACACATCGTTCTGAGTAGTATGATGAAATCTCATGCCATTCTGCTCTGTCCTGACCTAGAATGTCAATCATCCTGTTGCCCAGCGAACCCATGCTGTATATGCTACCCGCCTGTTAGTGACTTGGTAGTCCTCTTGGTTATCAGACTGACTGCTGCAGTACTGCAGTGCTTGTGTTCAGGTAGCCCTTATTTTACTTATTTTATTATTAAAGTATTAATAATACTTTACTAATAATAACTTAATTATTATTGTTGCTAAACTCTTACTGTGCCAATTTATAAATTAAACGTTATCATAGGTAGGTCTGAATAAGAAAAAACAGTATGTATATACAGGGTTCAGTACTACATGTGATTTCAGGCATCCACTGGCGGTTGTAGAATGTATCCCCCATGGATAATGGGAGAGTACTATCATAAAATAATGCCCACTTAACACATGAAGAATCTGATTCATTAGCTCAAGATTACCATGTAGTGAAATGGTTGCTAGGCATGACTTAAACCCACCTACTATAGCTTCAAATTAAGAACATTCTGGACTACACCCATGAGGTTTCTACCACCCAAATCTCAGAAGACTACAAATAGACTGTAAAAGCATAGTACAGTTGACCCTTGAGCAACATGGTTTGAATTGTGCAGATTCACTTACATGCAAATTTTTTCAATAAATACATGCCCAGTATTATAAATGTATTTTCTCTTCCTTATGATTTTCTTAACATTTTCTTTTCTCTAGATAACTTTATTGTAAGAATACAGTATATAATACATATATAAAATATGTGTTAACTGAACGCTTCAGTTATTGGTAAGGCCACTTTTTAGGGAGTCAAAGTTATATGCAGATTTGACTGTGCAGTGGGGGTTGGCGTCCCTAATCCCTTGAGTTGTTCAAGGGTCAACTGTATTTTTAAAAATATATTAATCTATAACCAAAGATAGAGAACCACATTATTTATCTCACAGATAAAGGAACAAACTCAGAAAATATCTAAATAAACCTGGATTTCTTAGCTATTTTATAGCTACTCTAATAGTATCAGTCTGTTTCTGTTGCTTATAACATACCTGGAACTGGGTGAATTATAAGAAAAGAAAATGTGTTGCTTACAGTTTCTGAAGCTGGGAAATCCAAGGTCCAGGGAACACAACTGGTGAGGGCCTTGGTGGTGGTGACAGTGACCCAGGGGACTCACATGGCAGAAAATGGAGGAGCAGAGAGAGACTAACTTCTAATGTGCTCTTCTTTTAAAGCCCTCAGAACCACGCCCCTGACCACCATTATTAATCCATTCACTACGGCATGGTCCTACAATCTAATCACCTCTTCAAAGCCCTACCTCTCAATTACCATAATAGGATTTCCCAATCTATTTACACTGTCATCGTGGGGACTACGTTTTGGGGAGACATTCAACCCAAGGCAATAATCTACTACAAAAAAATCCAAATATTATAAACATTTGATAACTAAATGTATTAAATTTGATAACTAAATGTATTTTATGCAGTTTTATGATAAGAAGTTTGCCTTATTTCAATTTAGAATCTTTGAATCCCTCCCTAACCTTCCAGAAATATACAAAAATATGCTATATTGACTTTACTTTGAAGCTTATTTAACAAAATAACTGAAATGATACTTACAAAAACCTTATCTCCAACTACATTTTCCAGATTTAACTGCCTTGTAATTTCCTTCAGGGCAATTTTATCATTTATCTGCAGCAGTCCTGAAATGAAGTCCATTTTAAAGTGTTTAATTAAAATTTAATATGTATTTGTTACAGCAGATTATTCTGCAATGCTTTTTAAATTTAACTAGAAAAAAAAGTCAAAGCCTGATAGTTCATAGTACTTCCTTTTTAAAACTCAGCAATAAAGACATTTGGTAGAGTCAAAGTACGATCTTCCTCAGGGTTAGTATTATATAAAACAAGCAAAAAGAAAGAGAGAGAAGCCTTATGAACTTCCTTTATTATCACTACTTCTTAATTTCTAAAAACAGTGTATGATGTGTTAAAATAGAGGTAAACATGAATACAGTTTCTAAAATCTAATTATTAAAACATTCAAGTGAACTTAGTTTCACAATATAAAAACCCCATATGGTTTATATCATTTCTAATGACAAAATGACACACTTACCATTTAGATGAACCTGTAACACATTTTCGCTCACTTCTTCTAGTTCTGTGAGTTCCTTCAAAGCATGATTTACTAACTAAACACAAAAAGTTCATAAAATATTTAATAATAGGTAAATGATAAAAAGAAGCCCATATTCTTTTTTAAACTATGAATGGTGGGAACAGAATATAAACAGACTGCCCTTTTTAATGAATGAATTTTCAAATTCTTTATAGATAGTTTTTTGTTTTGTTTGTTTGGTTTTTTTTGACTGGTAAGGGGATTGCAACCCTTGGCACAGTGTGGTCTGCACCACGCTCAGCCAGTGAGCTCACTGGCCATCCCTACATAGGATCCGAACCCACAGCCTTGGCGCTACCAGCGCCGCACTCTCCCGAGTAAGCCACGGGGCCGGCCCTATAGATAAAGTTTTAACTAGAACATCTCATGTCTGACTCTTAGATACAAGAGACAGCATTGATACCACACTCTCTCAATCATCTATCCAAACTTCTAATAAATGTTTAGAAACAACTCTCAAGTTTTAGAAGACATATTTCTCTACACGTCACACTAAACTACAGCTCCTTATAAACTTCATGTCTCAGTTAGTACATTATATGTCTCTCTAACATTCACTCTACTAAAAATCGCTAAACTCAGTTAAAAGCTATTGAAAAATATATGGCAGAACAATGCTAAATGATAACAAGTCTACTCCAATATATCAATTTCTATGGAATACTGTGAATGACTTTGTAGATTATCATGAAATGAAAATCAGAAAAGAAATAACAAAAGGCTATGTTGAAAAAGAGATATTCCCTCTGTTTCTAGGTACAGAGAAAATCCTTATTAAAGAAACTGAGAGCTTGCAGAGAAAAAAATTACTACTAATAATATACTACTAATAATTACTATTATAATAGTTTTATAGTTATATTCAGAAAGTGTTATATCACCTTAAACTGTTCAATTATAAAGCTTCAAATTTTCATAATTAAAGGATTCTATGTCACATACATTAATTTTTTTGATTTGTGATATTCTATCACTCTTATATTGCAATATCATATACACTTCTTCATATAACCACTGCATACATTTTTCAAAACTTGAAAATGAACAGAATTAAGAAAAGTCAAAAACTCTTTTTAAAGGAAGAGTAACAATGAAGGACTCGTCCTCCCAAAATTAAAATAGAAGGGTACTATCACAAAATAAATGGTCCAGGAAAAGAAGCTGTATGCACAAAATATTGGTACGGATGGCATCAAAATTCAGTGAGGACAAAAAGGATTACTCAACAGAGGCACTGGGACAATTGGTAACTATTTTCAGAAACTAAAAATACTATCTGTATGTGTATTTGCAATATGATTACTTCTTTTTGTCACTGCAACATCTTTTGTGTAAAAGGAAGAAGCAAATATCCTCATTTGAAATTATTAGATTTCACAACTGAATATTAAACTACTAGCTATTCCTGGTATATTTGTATGGTTTTTAAAGCATAGGAAATTCTACCTTAGGTCACAGGTAATCTAGGCCCTCTTAAAAGGGGACTATCTCAAGATATTAACTGTCATACTACTAGTAATAGCCCCCCTGAGAAGTGACATTTGAGAACTGCGTGAAAGCGAGGTGGTACTTCTTTGACTCTGGAACAGGTCAGACCATATCACATAAGTATATCCTTTGAGGGACACTTGGTCCCTTAAAATACTGCTTTCAGCAAGTTTTTCTTAGTAAACTGCTGTTTGCTTTCCCCATCTCTTGATATTTTACTTACATCTACATTTTCCTCAGTTCTGATTTTTGTTTTAATTCATAAATCCTTATTTTTACGTTTTGATGAATTGTTGAAAACCATTTTAAATCCTTTACAGAATGAAATGGGGATAATACCTTCATTTTACATATGCATAAAGAGTTATGACAGGTTTATAGCACTCTTTCCAGTGAACTTATTTGAAACACCAATTTATTATGCTCCACTTGGATCAGCCCACTGTTTTATGAGGTGTGCGTACGGTCTGAAAGGATAAGTTAAATGCATTATCAAGTATGTCTTCAAATAATAATCTTACTTCCAATTTGGATATTGCTAAAATTTGCTTGTAATTAGCAAGGTATAAACTGTGTAATTTAAGTCAGATTTTTCATGAACACATTGTCATCTTTTCAAGTATTTTAAAGTACACTGTACACTAAAATGTTTAATCAGTTATTAATGTTACGCTGACCAACACAGCCAATTTGGTTAACTTCTTTCCACATCCTTTGTAGCTAAAAATTAATTTTACAAACATACCAGGATAATTCTGTTAGACTTGACAGCATCCAGGGATTTTTATGTTTACCAACTATCACTATTTCCAAATATTTTAATAAACATAAGATTCACCAATATGCAACAAAAAGAAATATCCTACTTAACCACCTAGCAAGTTTGTCTACAGTAAATTCTATATAGAAGAGTATTTTCTAGGGCTCTACCTGCCACCAGGAACCATACCTACTCTTTAAATAAAATGCTTGCAATACAACAAACCACAACGTTATCTTTTTCAATTAACTGTAGATTTTGAATTTTTTAAATTTCAGATAGTTTGGCAAAGGATAGCATTTTAAATAATCTGTAATCTTATCTTTTTAATTTGAATTTACATAACTGTACTATTGAAAGTATAATTATGCAGTGGAAATAAATTTAACTATACTAAAAGAGAATACCAGGGAGGAGATTCTTCCAGATTCCAGTGAAGACATATTAGATAAATGACTTCAAAACACCAGGACAGGGCTCTGGTTTAAGAAATAACAACTACATAAACTGTCAGCATGGAATACATTTTATTAACTGACAAATACTATACCTTAATGCTGTCTCCTTTAAACTTGAGGACACATAATAAAACAACATAGGGGTTCATAAAAAGATGCTATATCATGAAAGAAAAGAAACACCACGCTGACGAAAAAGAGTAATCTCTACTCAAAGTGTATATTATATGAAGTAAATGTTTTGGTCTGTTTAAGCCAGACTTAGATATGTCATAAACAAACACAAAACAGAAGACTAAGAAGGTGCATGATAAGGAGCTAGAAAAGCAGAAAAGACTGTTAGAAAACTAAAATGCAGTATTTGATTAGAAGTAACAACAAAACTGACAGCAAAGAAAATCACATTAGAAATATGGTAGAACAATGAGTGAGAGGAGAGAGGAAGAAAAAGATGAAAAAAGATGGCAGACATGAATGGAAACAAAGGTTTAATAACTGGATGCTCTAATTCTAAGAAAGGACAAGAAGAAATGAAGGAGAATATTCAAAAATAAAAGAACGTTATTTCTGAGTGAAGATCAAAATTAATATTAAAAGGTTTTGCAGAATATCAGTTAATTTTATGATCAATTCTCAGACGCAGACTATGAATAACTAGTGCAGTAAGACAAGAAAGGAAATAAAAGGTATAAACATAGAGAAGAATTAAAACTGTCTTTAGTCACAGAAAACATGATTGTCTAAGAAAATCTCAAAGAACCAACAAAAAACCTCCTGGAAACTGACAGGCAATTACAGCAAGGTGGCAGAATACAAGGTAATATACAAACGCCAATTGCTTGCCTACATACTAGCAACAAATACTTCGAAAATGAAATTTGAAACACACTATGATTCACATTAGCACTAAAAAAACTGAAGATTCTGATTTCTGTTTTACTCTTTTTCTCCAAATAGCTTTTCATATGCCAAAAAAAAAAAAAGAATCTAGACACAGACCTTACACTTTTCACAAAAATTAACTCAAAATGAATCACAGACCTAAATATAAAGTACAACTTCTAGAAGATAACATAGGAAAAAATCTAGGTGACTTTGGATTTGGTGATGAGGTTTTAGATACAACACCAAAATCACAATCTATGACAGAAAACCTTGATAAATTGGACTTTATTAAAATTAAAAACTTCTGCCAAACACACTTAACAGAATGAAAAGACAAGCCACAGACTGGGAGAAAATATTTGTAAAACATGACTGAAAAATAAAAAATATATAAAGAATTTGTAAAGGTATTAATAAGAAAACAACCCATTTTTATAAAGGTATTAATAAGAAAACAACACATTTTCGTAAAGGTATTAATAAGAAAACAACCCAATTTAAAAATGGGCATAACACACCTCACCAAAGATACACGGATGAATAATAAGCATATGAAAAGATGCTCAACATCGCATGTCATTAGAGAATTGTAAGTAAACACCACAATAAGATACCACTGTACACCTATTAGAATGGGCAAACTTTAAAAAAAAATTGGCAATAGCAAATGCTGGTCAGGATGTGGAACAACAGGAATTCTCATTCATTGCTGGTGGGAAAGCAAAATGGTATAGCTACTTTGGAAGGCAGTTTGGCAGTTTCTTACAAAACTAAATATAGTTTTACTCTATGATCCAGCAACAACTGTGCTCCTATGTGTTTACCCAATACACAGTTGAAAACTATGTTGAAAACTCATCCACATAAAAAGCTGTATGCCAATGTTTATAGTAGCGTTATTCATAAATGCCAAACTGGAAGCAACCAGGATGCTCTTCAATAGGCAAATGGATAAACCAAGGTACACGCATGTATATGATAGAATGTTATTCAGTGATTAAAATAAATGACCTATCAAGCTGTAGTGGATTTAATTGTGTCCCCCGAAACTCCCTGAAGCTTGAATTGTGTCCCCCAAGTTTTATGTATTAGAAACTTAGCCCCCACTGTGACTGTTAAGAGGGTAGGAAATCCTATTATGGTTATTGAAAGGTGGAGCCTTGAAGAGGTGATTGAGTTGCAGGACCCTGCAGTAGTGAATGGTTTAAAAATGGTGGTCAGGGCGTGGTTCTGAGGGCTTTAAAAGAAGAGAGTACGTCTCTCTCTTGCTCTCTCTGCTTCCACCATCTTGCAATGTGAGACCTCTGGGTCACTGTCACCATCACCAGATGGACTTAGGACTTCTTAGCCTCAGAAACTGTAAGCAATAAATTTCGTTTTCTTTATAAATCACCCAGTTTCAAGTTATTTTGTTATAAGCAACACAAAATGGACTAATACACAAGCCATAAAATGATTAGGAGGAACCTTAAATCCATACTGCTAAGTGAAAGATGCCAACATGAAAAGGCTACATATTTTATGATTCCAACTATAGGACATTCTGGAAGAGTAAAAATTATGGAGACTAAAAAGATTCGTGGTTGCCAGGAGTTTATGGGGAGGAATAAATAAGTGAAGCAAAGGGGACTTTTAGGGTGATAAAATTATTTTGTATGACACTGTAATGGTGTATACATGACATTATCCCTTTGTCAAAACCCATAAAAGTATACAACACAAAGAATGAATATTAAACTACAGACTTTAGTTAATAATGTATCAATATTGGTCCATTAATTATACCAAAGGTACCACAGTAAGTCAAGATGTTAATAATAGGGGAAACTGTGTGCATTTGTTGGGGGGAGGGTTATATGGGAACTTTCAATATTATCTGCTCAATTTTTCTGTTTTAAAAAAATCTATTTTAGCTAATTTACTAATGAAATGGTATTTACTTCATTTGTATTTACTTGAATATTTTTATATAAGTGTTTACTAGCTTTATTTCCTTTTTCCTGAAATTTCTCCAATTCTTCAGGGACCAACTTCCAAGATGAAGTTCTGAGTAAATTCAGTCATTAACTGCTTAAATTGTATTTTTAGGCTGGACACTCTGAGGTACAAATCATTGAGATTTAACTTCTCTGTTGTAAAGTTATTTTGTTTCAAGATGCACAACTGACTATGGAATATCTAACGTACTGATTTCCTACATCTCATTTTTACTTCTACTGATACAAGAGTATCACTACGGTGCTCCTTGAAGAATTAAATTTTATCTAAATATTCATAAGATGATGACTTTTCCAAAGATAATAAAATAATGAAATCTGGAAAAAAAATTATCCTTTAAATTCATACTAAGGTCTGAAGAATATCAGTTTTTATGACCAACAGTTAGACATAGCCCTTGAATTTCTCACATTTCAAAGATAAAAAAATTCCACAAACATACAGACAGAAAAAAAATTACACACTAACCTAAAACAAGTTAATGATGGTGATCATTAGTGACATTCACCACATATTTCTGGTTTACCTTCCTTCTAGTTAGTAGGAATGTACATCTTTGCTCTCTTGAAGTTAGGAGTGACTATGTAACTCACTCTAGCCAGTGAACTATGAGAAGATGTACTCTGATCACCTCTGAATAGGAACTTTTAAGAGTGTGTCCATGATTTACAGTGCTCCCTTTCCTCTACTAGGGTGCTTGTGGAAGAACATGCTGAGATAAGCTCTACCACTCCACTTGAGGGAATACAAATAACAGCACCCCTTTGTTGATCCACACTGAGCAAAGAAAAAGAGAATCAATAAACTTCTATTGGGTTAAGCCACTAAGATTTGGGGCTGTTATGACTGCATAATCTAGCCAATCCAGAGGGATAAAATAATTTATAGAAGCAAGAAAGAAAAGCCTGTCCTTGGAGTTTCTGCACAAAACACAAAACTGAGTAAAATCTATAAAATTCCAAAGGGAAAAAACTGTGACCCAATAATTCAATACCTAGCCATGTTACAAGTTATGCAAAATAACTTTTGATGTATTTAAAATATTCTAGCAAGCTCAAAAACATATCAGTCAAATAGTCCTATTGTAAAAACTACCTAAAATATCAGTGAAATTAAACTGTAAGATTTTCAAATGTTAACACCCATATTTGTCTCCTATATTGAATAAAGAATGTAAAAGGAAAAAATGAAGAGGAAAAAAGTAAAAATATCTTACTGAGGTAACTAAGAAAATATGATAAAGAGGGAAAATAGAAGAGAATTATAGAAGATGTGACTATACATATGAAAAAACTGCTTACATTAGGATTAAACAATAAACATTAAAAAGGGGGGGGGGAAGAATGCATGTTATAATAGTTCTCTATCTACAAAAAGAAACAAAATGTACCTTGAGAGTTAACATAAAGAATAAATGAGAGAATATAGATAAAAGGCACAAAGTACATGTTTAATAAATGCTAGTTTCTTTTTTGTTTGTTTGTTTTTAGCAGCTGGCCTATATATGGATCAACCCTGGACCTCGGTGTTATCAGCACCATGCTCTAACCAACTGAGCTAAGTGGACAGCTCTCTTGTTCCCTTGGCAATCTCTTAATTCTTCAAGGACAGAAGACCATGATGGAACAAACATCAACTGAAAACTTGTCACTGGGAAGAAAAATAAGGTAAAAAAGGTATGCTCAATTCAAATATACCACTCTAAGGCTTTTACATTGTCATCTATGATTTAAAGAAAACAAAAACAAAAAACAAAATGTTAATTACAAAATAATGAAATGAAAAACATTTTCAGTGTTATCTGAAATAAGAATCATCACATGCCTACCAGTGCAAAGAAACACCAGAAATCAATAGTTTTTACCATGGTCTTTCCTGATCCTCGAGGTCCAATAATAAGCACAGAGTTACTTTCTCCATGGATAGCAGTTCTTTTTAGCAGCTCAATTAAGTGTCTAAAATTATATAAATAGGTCAAAATTAAAGAAAAAACATAAAGCTGAAATAATTTGCAATGTAGTACTTTTTAAAAGCTGAATTTGAATATACACGGAAATTCCTCTCTTCACTCCCTCCGGACTTTTGACTTAGGCTCTAAATAGTCCCACAGAGAAGAACACAAGAGAAGAGAGAACAGGCCAGTGCTGAGTCTCTGGAAACTAAGAGGAAACCTGGTAAGTTTGGAATACATTGATTTTATGATGGTAGGGACAAGGGACAACAGTGGCAACTACTGGATTCAGAATCCCTTTTCTACTACCACTCTGCCCATTTACTCCATAGCTGGCTGCCAGGTATTAAGGGCAAGAAGGTCAGAATTCTTCCCATAGTACCAGATAACAGAAACAAAACAAGACTGAAAGTTAAAGGGCTTTCTCATTATGGAAATATGTGTATCTGCTTCTGCTTCATAATATTCAGTGTTTCTATATAAACAGCAAGTATTCACTAATTCCTAAGTATTCACTAGCCTTATTTAAGATCAAACACGTACAAAATAATTTTTGCAAAACCCGGAGGGCACATGAAATAGGTTTATAACAGACAAGGGGATAGCTAGACTTACTTGTACTGTACTTGCACTCCAAACAGATTACTATGTGAACTCTGATGACAGAATCTTTCACGTAAAATTCTTTGTACCTGATGAAGATAAAGTAAATACATATAAATAAAAATACTACACATGCAATAAAAATGAATGAGAAAGTACATTTATAGCAGTCAGGAGTAGGTATTAATAAGTCAATTCAACCCTCCCTAAATACTTGTCCTCAAGAGTTCTGTCGCCATTTGCATGAGTTATAAAACTAATGGCTCTTTTCATCAATTTCAAGTTCCAGGGAAAGGATGAGAATTTAGCTGTGAAGATTTCAACAAGAGGCCTTGAGAGTAATGAAAATACATACTAACCTGTGAAAGGCACTCTGTGTGTATTAAGTTGTTACTCTTTGATTTACGACTGCTCATTTCAACAAATTCAAATCCTTAAAAAAAAAAAGTTAGCATGAATATAATAAACACTACTGGCTTAAAAAGATTACTTAAGAATTTACTATTCTAGAATCAAAATAAATACAAGTTTTCAAATTTGAAAAATGTTCAAATTTCTCAAACTTTAAAAATCTTCAATGGCTGTCCAGGTATAGGCTTAATCGACACTCTCATATGACACTTCATATGGCTCTCAACAACTACTCCTCCCTTTCCCTTAAATCTACTATTCACCTTCCCTTCCTTCCTTTTTCTTTTTTCACCTATATGTTTCCTTTATACAGAATGTTTCACCCACCCATACATCCCACAGGATCATTCCTTATAGAAAACCTTCCTTTCCTTACTCCACTCAATACCCATACACAAATAATCATCACAAACCAGGTTAAATGCCTCTTCCATAAACACCCACACATGCCTGTATTTCTTTTATCCATAATCAAATTTTACTAAACAAAATTGTCTGTTTAATTGCCAATGTCCCTGAATTGAGAACATTTTTATATTCCAAGCTAACGTAATGCCCAAAATAAAATTGGCAAAGAAGTGACAGCTAGAATGAAAAAAAAACACTAATGAAAAAAATTATGATTTTTGCAAAATTTTCGTTGAGGGCAACATAGACAAATGCCTTTGGCTAAAAGATCTAATTTTCTTAGCACTGATCTCCTATAGGAGTACTTTAATAGTTAGGTAATAATAGCTTAAGCAGTCTTTACTTAGGTACCAGGAATTGTTACAAATGCTTTGCATTTACCAACTCATTTAATCCTCAAAATAAGCCTACAGAATAAATACGATTATAATCTCCCTTTAAGATTAGAAGACACAGAGTGGTTAAGTAACTTGACCAAAATCAGAAAGTGTGTAGGTGGAAGAGCCAGGATTTGAACCTAACAAAGTTATACACTTAAAAAAAATGTACTCTGGTCTCCTCTAGAGCCTCCAGAAGAAATGAAGCCCTGTCAATGCCCTGATTTTCATCCAGTTAAAGCCATTTTGGAACTTCTGATCTCCAGAACTCACAAATTCAAGATAAGCGGACCTACCATCAAATCACCGATGATTAATGTTATCATGATGTAAGGATGACAGCAGCAAGGCGGAATAGGAGCACCTCCCCTTCCCCCACTTTTATCCCCACACAGCAACACTACTTTTGCAATACATCCACAAACAAAAGTACCTTTGAGAGCCTTGGATGTAAGGATGAGTCTGTGAAACCCTGGTGGAGCCCAAGACCTAGAAAGGCCATTTTGAGAAGGTAGACCTTTACCCAAGTATCACACTAGGCAACTGTGTTCCCAACTCCAGATCCAGAAATGAGCCTATAGCCCTAAAGCCTCACTTATAACTCTGTCTGGCCTTGGTCCTGCTACCAAAGCCATCTGCAAAGGAGCCCAGGAGAAGTCAGCAGACAGATTCACCCTCCTTAGTTTCAACTATGAACACTGAAACGACCTTCTAACTCAGCTCCAGCTACTCTCACTATGGTTTTCTCTCACTCTTGTTCTCGCACAAGAACCCAGAAAAAGACATGCTTATCTCAGTCCCTAGGGCAGGCAGGCAGGCTTGCTGACCTCCATTCCCAAAGCAGATCCAGAAACGACCATGAATCTCAGCTCCTGCTGCTCTTAGCTGTCTGAGAACAATCCTGCCTGCAAGAGGAACTGCTAAGAGACTTGTCTATCTAGGCCATCAGTACAAGGTTGCCAACCTCCCCTCTCAGCCATAGCCTGACAGCAATCCTGCATCAGCAGGGACCGGCCAGGAGACATGCCTGTGTCTATGGGGCAGGATTGTTGTCTTCAGTCCCAGAGCAGATCCTACAATATCCCTGAATATCAGCCCCAGCCAGAGAGCTGTTCTGTAAGCCCAGGGTCCTAGGAGGCAGGCCTTTTTGCATTCCAACAAGCAGGCTACCAAACCTAGGTTCCACGACAGAGCCTGAAACAGTCCTGAAAAACAGTTCTACCCCCTCAACGAGACTTGAGAGCAAGCCCACCCACCCAGGGACTGTCGGAAGACACACACATCCATGACCCTAGAGACAAAGACCTCAGTCTTAGTTGTAGACCCTAAAGCAGCCCTGTGACTCAGTTACAGCCCTACTCAGCCACGTACTGAGGCAGTACTACCTGTCCAGGGATCCATCAAGTGATCCAACAGAAACCCTCCCAGGGTCCTGGAGGAAGCCACACTTGTCTGCACACCTGGTAACAGACCTGCCATCTGCAGACCCTCACCCCAGTATGGACCATGGTCCTGAAGACAGTCTAGCACCCAGGGAACAGACAGGTTTTCACCACTGCTAGAGCTCTTGATAACAGGCCCATCAACCATGGATGCCACTGAAGACTCAGCAGCAGCCTGGCACCAACCCCATTTGACCATGATCCCAGGGAGATCTCATCAGTCCAGGAATTTCACAGAGAATGACTTTATCTACTAAAACCAGTCTATAAAGACTGGAAGGTTTGTTTGCTCCTTCGAATGCACAGACTCCAGTGCAAGACTACAAGAAAAACAGAATCAGGCAAATATGAAACACAAACGGAATACAGCTCCAGCAACTGACCTCAAAGAAATGGAGATCTTCACTTTCAGTAAAGGAATAAAAAAGTTAATCCTTGCAAACAGAAATCAAAAGAAAGCAGGGGTAGCTATACTTATGAGAATACTTTCAAAAGTTTGTGAAACAATCAAATTAAAAGAATATGAATCCTTCTATGACTTTAAGTCAAAAACTAAAAAGAGACAGAGTTCATTAATATGGATTCTGTCCCCCAAGTTTTATGTATTAGTAGCTTGATCCCCACTGTGACTACTAGGTGATTAGACTCTGAGGACCATGCCTAGTGAATGGACTAAGAATGGAGGCCATGGATATGGTTCTGAGGGCTTTAAAAGGGGAGCAGTGAGACTCTTAGCTCTGCCATTCTTGCCATGTGACACTGCATTGCTGTAGTCACCTCACCAGATGGGCTCCCCGCACTGTGGACTTCCCAGCCTCCAAAACTGTAAGCATGATAATCTGTTTTCTCTATAAATCACCCAGTTTCAGGTATTTATGATATAAGCAACAGAAATGAACTAATACAGAAAACTCATACCAGAGAAGTGGTATGTTGCTTATAATAAACACTTGAAAATGTGGAAGTAGTTTTGAATCTAGGTGTAGAGGAGAGGCCGTAAGAATTTGGAGGAGCAAGACAAAAATCCGACATGCTGCTGGGAGTTTAGAAGACAAGAAAACCAGGGAAAGTTTGGAATATTTTAGAGACTGGTTAAATGGTGATGACTAGAATGCTTATGGAAATATGAACTGTAACTAAGGAGGTCTCAGATGTAAATGAGAAGTAACTTATTGGAAACTAGGGCAAAGATCATTCTTGCTATGAACTGCCAGGGAATTTGGTTGCATTCTGTTCATGCCCAAAAGTTCTATGCAATGTGAAACTTAAAGGTGCTGACCCAGAACATTTGGCAGAAGAAATTTCTAAGCAGCAAAGCATTCTGGAAGCTGCATGGCTACTTGCAATATGCCACACTGAGTTATGGCAGAAAAGGTATGATGTGAAACCAGAATGTATAATTAAAATGGAAGCAGAGTATAATGATTTGGAAAATTTGCAGAGAAGCAGAGAGCATTCTCAGGAGAAAAATTCAGTGGTGCTAAGATGATTAGTACAAAACAAAGGGATTATTAAGAGAAGGCGGAAAAAGGTCCTGAGACACTGTAGAATCCTCTGGGGCCATCCCTTCCATTACAGGCTCAGAGGCCTAGGGGACAGAATAGTCTCAGGGAACAGGCCTGAAGTGCCCTCCACGGGCCACTTCAGGAAGCTGCTTTCAGCACCAGCATCCTAGCCACTTTGGCTGCTCCAGATGTGGCTACACTGGCCCTAAGTGTGGCTGGAACTGCAGCTTTGGAAGATACAAGCCAGAAGCTTTGGCAGTGTCCACGAAGTGCTAAGTTTGCACGCTTGCAGAATGGCAGAGTTGTGAAGGCTTGGAAGCCTCCTCCCCAATTTCAAAAGATGTATGGAAAAGCCTGGTGGCCAGGAAGAGATCTGACACAAGGGCAGAGTCACCACAAAGAGCCTTCACTAGAGAAATGCCAAGTGGAAATGTGGGGTCAGAGCTGCAGCAGAGAAACCCCTTCAGTGCTATGCCTAATGGAGCCAGGGGAACAGGACCACCATTGGAACCCCAGACTTGTACTAGCATGAAATACCAGCCCGAGAGAGCTAAAGCATAGCCTCAGACCAGAAAGTTGTAAAAGCAGAGCTGCATGAGGACTTGGGGACCCAAACCCCACACCAACGTGGAAGAGGATGTCAAACATGGAGACAAGAAATAGGACTTTCCAGCTCTGAGATTTAATGTCTACCTTGCTGGGTTTTGGACTTGCTTAGGACCTGTTATCCCTTTCTTTTGGCCTATTTCTCCCTTTTTGAATGGGGATATCTACTTAATATTCATCCCACCATCATACCTTGGAAGTAGATAACTTGTTCTGATTTCACAGATGAGACTCTGAACTTTGTACTTTCTGAACTGAAACAAGTTAAGACTTTGGGGATGGAATGAATGTATTTACTTGTGAGAAGGACATAAACTTTGGGCAACAGGGGAAAAGAGATATAGATTGTGTCCCCCAAGTTTTTGTGTTAGTAGCTTGATCCCCACTGCAACTGTTAAGAAGGTGGAAAATCCTAATGTGGGAATTAAAAGATGGACCTTGAAGAGGTGATTAGATTCTGAGAACCATGCTTAGTGAATGAATTAAAAATGATGGTCATGGGCATGGTTCTGAGGACTTTAAAGGGAGAGCAGTGAGCCTCTCTCTTTGCTCTGTCATTCTCACCATGTGACACCCTGTATTGCTATAGAATAACTTCACCAGATGAGTTCCCTGCACTCCAAAACTGTAAGCAATAAATTTTGGTATCCTTATAAATCGGCCATTTCCAGGTATTTATGTTAT